TGATTAATTTAGTTGAGTTCAATTAATTTAATTCGATTTGATTCGATTCGATTCGATTCGATTTGATTTGATTTGTTTCATTGTAGTGTGCAACAGAAAATTGTAACGAATCCAAAAGAAAAAGTGAAAAGAAAAAGAAGTGAAACAAGTTAGTACATTTGGTATTACCATTGGCTAAAAAGAAGTTTATCGATTATTAAAACAATTACAGTGGAGCATAAAAGTGTGCTAAGAGTTAACCTTCATTGACGAACCTATGCGAAAGCCTCGCATACTGAAATCAAAAATAATATTTATTCATATCCCTGCCTAGGCAGTTAAAGCCAAGCCTAGCAGCTTTATTTTTATGAATTTATGAATTTTAGATTTCAAAATAAATGCATTATGTAATTCAAATATCGTTAGACATAGACTCGGACTGACTCACTGAAAATATAATCTAGACATTGTTCAGATATTCCATTTTAGTATTTTTCTTTTTTCATTTAATGCAAAGATTTACTTTTGATATATTCAATCAAAGATAAATTGACCGGACAACGCCGGGCAGCAGCCTGACAGCCTGAAAGCCTGGCACCCTGTAATTAAATATCAGCTTTAGATATAGATGAGAAACATATTTACGGATTTGTTGGTGATAGTATGAACATCGAAGAGTATGGCAACATTGGCTTTGGCCCTTCCGTAACTTCCTCCTCCTCCTTCTTCTCTTCCTCCTTCTTTTTGCCTTTGCCCTTGCTGGTGGCCACGGTACCATCGCCGTTCTCCAGGTGGACGCCGTCGCCTTGGAGGGCTTCCATTTCTTTTTCTAGTTCTTGGAGCTGTTTCTCTTTATCTTCTTCGACTTGTTCCTCTTCGGCTGCTGTCAGTTCTTGAGCATTCGCCAAATTATCGACGGCGATAGCCAAGAACACATTTAAAAGCGTATAATTACCGAAGAGTACCAAAACGATAAAGTATCTGTTGGAAAAGAGACACAATGCGATTAGTGGACTCCAGTGAAAGTCGACGTGGAGCTAATAGTATGCTTGATAATGTTCGATGTAAAGCCCAAAGTCTACTCTGTATCCTGCATCCGGTCAAGTGTCAATTTAGGTCAATTTTAATTTCTTAATCAAGTAATCCATAATGTGTGAATGTTTCAAGTGATCAGGTTATCAGGTGATCAAGTGATCAATTGATAGAGCAATAGCTAGTGCGTCAACTGATCTCAATATAACACAAATATACCAATATGAACTGTTCAATCTAATATATGTGAGCATAGTGTATCGGATAGTAGCAGCAGCTAGAGTGTTGAATAGTTATAATACTTGAAATGTTGTGCCTAGGGGCCAACAATTAATCCAAAACATGGCATGGCTGGAAAAGAAATGAATTATGAAAATAGATAAGCAAGAGTGAGATCAACTAGGCTAGCATAGCTAAATATAATACACTTACGTTATTCGATAGCGAGTGAGTGCGCTGAGGGAGGCTGCATCAACTAGGGGGTTAAACGATGGAAGGACTTGGCTTGCAGAATTTCAGGATCACATTTAACTAAATTCTCCAAGCTCTAAAGTCCAATCTTTTCACATATATATATGGGTCAATATATATATTGTGAGACCAAAACTCCAACGTTCCGGATCTTTATGGTAGATTGCACACATTAATGGTTCGACGTTCAATGAATATCAACTAATCGCACCAATTAGCCCCCGATATTCTCCCACCAACCAAAAAAATTTCTTTCTTTCTAGGTAACAACAGCGACCTACTTCCGATTCAATTAGCTTTTTCCAATTTATAATGCAAAAAAAAGTAAATAAATATAGCCAAGTTCTCTAGCAGATAAAGCTGTTGATGTTGTATACTCGGTTCACAGAGTACAACTAAATCCAGATAAGAAACTCGATTTTGCTAATAAGAATTACATAATACTAAATTAATAATACAAATTTGATTGGTTTATGAAATGTATTTGTTTTCAAATGCTAAGAAAACGGAGAGCATTTGCTCTATCCTCTCCAACTGAGCATCGGCATGCTCTCTCTCTCTCTCGCTCCCTTTCACGTTTCAGTGCCATTAGATGAGAGTTGAGGCAGGCTTCACTCAAATTCTCATTCTCAAATAGTTACAGCTCAACGAGAGTAGCAAAACGAAGGCGAGCCTGCGGTCGACAGTGAAGTCTGCTACCAATAGCAGGTCCTGGAAATAGTTTTGTTTGTGTATATAATTTACAAACTCGACCCAACCCAATAAAAAAATACAACAAAATGAGCCCGAGCCTGCAAAATCTACAAAAGTCAAAATGGTAAACGCATTATAGCCAATTTCATATAATATACTAAAAGAACTACTCATACATAAGATAAAATAAGAATAATACTGTGAACCGAATATGGCCAAGTCGGTGAGAGCCGACTGTAACTAGCTTTGTTTGATTCTACAATACGATGTTTCTTAGCAATACTATAATCATATATGTCTGTATATATAATGTCAATGTCAATGAAAATTTCAATTATCGATATTTGTATAAACTTACATAGAGTAAATCATTCCTTTCTTTGCACCACCTTGCGATATAATACCCTGATACATAACTTCATTCCAATCTTCGCCGGTTAGGATTTGGAACACTGTTAAGAGTGCTATGGGAAATGTGTTAAAGTTTGTTTCGGGCGTGCCTCCTGGCAAATTGAACTGCCCACCGAACAGTTGCATGCCAAGCAGTGCAAATATCAGTATGAACAAGAAGAGCAGGAACAACAGTGAGATGATGGATCTCATCGAATTCAGCAATGATATAACTAGATTACGTAGGGAGGACCAGTATTTGGTCACTTTGAAGATGCGCAGCAGCCGGAGGGCACGCAACACAGACAGACCGAACGAGCCGCCCTTAACTTCAGACCAGATCACCTCGAATATCGAACCACTAATGACGACACAATCAAAACGATTGAACGACGACTCGAAGTAAATGCGTGGACCCAGCGCATACATCTTGATAAACATTTCCGACATGAACAGCCCCAGGAAGATGAATTCCGCATAGTCTGCAATGGAAAAGTTCCGATTAGATTGTACCATTGCCCCGCCCCTGCTCCAGCAACAGCGGCAAATCGATGCAAATTACTTACACAGAAACTCCGTGAGGAATGTCGGCTGTCCATAGTGCTCGACAGCGACGCAAACAGTGTTGAGAAAGACGAGCACTATCACGAACCAATAGAACCACTGCGTCTTCACTGTGTGCCGTATCCAGAAACGGAACCTTTTCTCGGCTCGCCAAAATCCTGTACAGCTGCCTTGGGGTTTCGAACGAGTTTTCAGATAACCTGTCAAAAGTACATTGACGCATGATCAGTAAGGCCGCATCGGCTAATCGATCTATGTACATAGTCTATATAGTCTTATTGCTTAAGTGTTTCGATAATTGCCACACATACAAGTTTTTGTGTATCCTGCGTATGAGTACGTTGTGATTTAGTCGTGGTAGTTATTGGATTTGTTGTTGTTATTGGTACTAGTTAGTAAGTATATACAAACTCGATAACTCTATCTATACGCTGAACGAGATGCAACTACAAGCACAGATATCTACGAGTATGATAGCACACATACATGAAATGTTCGATTTTGAATACGACTATAACAAATCAGCGAGTCTGATGCGTCGCATCGTGGACTTTGCAGACTATAAAATATCGGGTGACAAACGTTTAAGTTTTAATATTGACTTAAATTATAGTTTCTGTGACAGCTATAGACCTATTGAGAGAAGGAAATATGTATATCTGTATACATATATATTTATGAATGCAAATACAGTAGAGTCCGATTATTACGACGCTCAAGGAACCGTCCTAATACCCAGTATCAGAATTCATTGCTATAACCGTACGGACGCTATAAGCGGAGTCGTTACAACCGGATTCTACTGCATACACTCAATGAATAATAAGGAATCATATCTATACCCATATAATATTGTAAATTTAATATTTATTATTATTTTCACTAAATAGTTACTCTAGTCTGCTTCATTATAGCACAAGTTTCTAGTTTTCATATTATCCTTTTAGTATTTTACTGTTTCATTAGAGGCCTTCAGTTCATATGACAAGAATGAGCCAGAAAAAATATCTATAGCTGCCCATAAGTTAAGTCCTTTGATGTATCTGATCTATAACGTATATTTATAAAGCTTGACTTGATACCTTAAGAAAAAAAATTTATTAAAAAATAATAATAAGAAAAAAAAAAAAACAAAAATAGAATAAAGTTGTGACTAAGAAATGCTCAGGGCAATATCCTTGAAATATATATAACATAAATAAAATTAAATAAAATAATGTTTTAGTGTTATTCATTAGGAAAAGTCGATCTGTTCATATCCCTCTGGAGCTCTATCGCTCTTGATACTCAATATAGCTAGAATAAACCCATTTTCATTATGTATTCGAATCTGTGGAAATTCCTGATTAATAATTTGCTAGTGCTTGGATACAAACAAAAATAGAGATATATATTTAATTATACGAGTATACATATCGTTGGGGCCGTAGCATAGTTAAGGTGCCTTATAATCGATGAGAATGCATAAACAAGTGCAATAGTAGTTTCAATTTCGAATTCATTAAGAATTGAATTGTCGCTTAGGAGACGATAAATACATATACATAAGTACGTACAACCATTATAGACTATGAGCCTAGCATAGATGATATCGACATGAGAGATGTGCAGGTCAAACATCCCCGACATGGTTATAGAGTTAGTACAATGTGTGTATGTACATACATTTACTGATATACTGAAAATGCTCAATACATTGATATCGCTACCGAATGCATGTTGTTGTGAGAACGATATTGAGTTGTACAAGAAATCAGGTTATTGATCGAATTGGTAGTTTACTTACACATTTTGAATGTACATATCAATATAGAATTTCGTTTTGTTCAAATTCACAAATTCAAATTAAGAGAAAATGAAAAACGTAAATTAATTCGATTTAAAAACATAATAACTTAATTAAGATATTTCATAGATGTTCACTCAGATCGAGGTCTAAACAAAAACCGCCCATAAATCTTCTGAATTTGAGAGAGTTTACTCAACAACAAAAAGAAAACAATATGAAGAAATTTCCATCTAAATGTTTCGTGTAAATATAACTTTGCATGCAAAAAGAATTTGTTTCATTTTAAATCATATCCTTTTTCGCTTTTTCAATTTAATCCTAAATATCACTTTTGATGACTTCACATGAGCTCTTGACAATATATCCGATTCCATGAATACAAATTTTTCTTGAATATATATTTTCGATTCACACATATTCAAATCTATCGAATCGGACCACAATATCGTACAGCTGCCTAAAGATCTAAATCTTACTTTGTACTTTACTTACTTTGTATTATAAAATGTATTGACTTTCTATACTGAAAAGAAAACAAGCATTCCCTATTCCGATAGATATTTCTAGAGAGAATATATTTATATATATTTTATATATATATTTAGCATGTATGCATATGCAACATATGTTATGTTAGATTCTGTTAATGAATGTCTTTCTCTCATTACCCACACTGAAAAGAAAGTTGAAATCCTTCACAAATATTGCTATGGTAAATTCGGTAATTGAATTCATTTGCAGTCGGATTCGTCCGACGTCCAAAGTCTTTTGTTTTTAATTTCATATTAAAATAGATGTATTTACGATATTCGCTTTATGCATAGATCAGCATAGATCATTGATAGCAGCTGTTAGCCGAGTTATTAGGTAAATAACCACCTAAATAGATTCTTTCGAAAGTTCTTCTTCAAATATTTAAGTTTCTGTTATGTTTTGAATAGGTCTTAGAATCTATGCTGTCCAATACAATTCTTACCATCATCGCCGTAATCCTCCTCGGCTTCTTCTTCTTCAGTGTCTGTCGACTTTGACTTTCCTAAGCTTTTCAGCTTTTTCCGTTTAGCTGCATTTCGCCTGCGGGCTACAAATACAAAACAAAACCAAACAAGATATATTGAAATTTCGAATACCACATATTCGATAAAGCTGAGAGATCAACCTACCTTCCATAATATGCATTTTCTCCTCCTCTGTTGTTCGTTCTTCGGCTAATATAACTTCCTCTGCAATTATATCGTAACGATAAACGGATTGTCAAATGTTCATGGCATGCACGAAAAAACGATTTGCGACTGAGATTTTTCATCTTTTTTTTTAACAAGCAGGATTAACATATGTATGTGAATATGAATTGATGAAGCTCGAGTGGATGTATAGCATATAGCTTACGTCTTACTTATTTATTTGAGCATATAGGTTTATTTGTGTTGTGAGTAAATGTGAAGTATATTACTAACTGTGTTTGTGTCGGTGAATCAGTTTGATGTTTGAGCTCTTTAGATTTTTGTTTGTATATATTTATGGGAGAACTAGATAGTGTTTTAAGTGGAGTTTTGTATTAATTATGAAAGCAAGTCAGAATCTCTGTAATATCCATCAAACCCGACTGGAAAATACCCAAGCGAAGAGCTCAGCTCTATTGGCTCAAACTACATGATAAATGTATACTGATTTCAAAGAGCCTTCGTATGAACTCTTCTTCCTCTCATTTGCAAATCCTTGAATTTAAAAATAAGTTTAGCATTATTTACAGATCGTCATATTTTATGGACCAGCTTATTATAATTATCGATAAAAATCAATACGTAGATTGATAAGTAGATCTTTTGATCTGAAAGCTTTTAAAGCTTATATTTATGATGTTCTTTACTATGCTTAATACAGAACTTGTGCCTATTTCAGATTTTAGATACCCTATTTAAAAAATAACCAATTTGATATAGATTTTATTAGGCTTTCGGTAATTATAGACATTTAACAGTTATTTTTAAAGCCAAAGTTATACAATAACCAAACAGTATAGTGACGGTGTAAGAAGTACTTAGGGTATTTCTTAGTCGGATACTTCCGCCTTCTTTTCGTGACTTATTTCCATATGGTACATTTATTAGTTTAGTATTTTTAAAGGTATGAGTGTATGTGTATGCATTGGTGTCTGGTGTGTTTGGCGTTAAGAGGAGTCGGATAATATAGTATATAGAGAGAAAGATATAGATATATATTTTTGATAAACATTACAAAAGAAAGGGGTAAATACTATACCAGCTTTACAAATCCATTCAACATAGCCGTTTAATTCTCTTTCTAGTTGCTGCTGCCTTCTAAGTTTAAGAAATTCTTGTCTATTTTCTACTTTTTCTCGTTCTTTTGCGAATTCACTACAAAAAATAATTAAATAGAATATGATGAACCGAAAACAGGAACGATCCAATGAACAAATATGATATATTGCATTACAAAAAAACAATTTTCACATTTTGTTACCTTTTCAAAATATTTGCTTGTATTGAAGTGTTTGTGTATATTCAAATAAAAAATAAACTTAAATACATATTGAGTGTGATGTACAGACAATGAGAATAGTAGTAGTATAAGTAGAACAAACAGAAGTAGAGCATAAATAGAGTCAATGGGGAGATGAAGATAGAACAATTAAGTATTGGTAGCATACTGTGCATAACTCTTTAGCAGTTTCAAATTATACCCGAGATAGGAGTTGAGTATGTGAATGCCATTGTGTCGTGGGTCCATAGCAGACATACATCATGCTTGCTTCTATGTAAATATCATCGAAAAGAACATAAACAAATGTGACGCAGATCCTCTTTGAGCTTTGAGCCAGAGTACAGCATGATGAAGTACACGWCGAGTAGATATATATCTATCTATCTATCTATAGATAAGTTAATATATGTGGGTGAGAACTTGAACAATCTGAACTCGTTTCTCTAACCATAGCAGAGCAGCAATTCGATATTGTCGATATTGATTGTTAAATACGGGATTGTTTATATATAATACTATAGTAGACGATAACAACAATTGCAATTGGCATAACAAACTGGTGTGGAAGTACCTTGTATGCTTGTTGAGTAAATATATGTATATATTGAAGTTGGGGTTTAACTAGATATATAGTTGAATAGTTAGTTAGTTAGTTAGTTAGTTAAGTGGGGATTAACGTATGTTTGTATTAGCTAAAATTTGCATTGAATTAGTTGATTATGTAGCATGTAATACGAACTGGGTTCTGTTCTAGTATATGTAACATATATGGGGACTTTCGGGTGGTAGGACCAAACAGCATTTCGTATAAAAGTTTTATTGCATTATCTCAATTAGCGACAGATTTATAATATATATATATATAGATAGTATATATGTAGTATATGTTGTTGTAACTAGTTGAGAAGAGCAAAAGATGATTTTGTTGCCGAAAGGAATTAATTTGCTTGCGGTTTTATTTGGTTTTTAACTATCGTATTAATTGGTTAACTCATTGTATTTGTTGTTGTAGTTGTATTTGTTGTTGTATTTGCCTAGTTTTTATATATTATATAAGATATTCTTGTACGTATATATATATGTTTATATATATGTAGAGAGGGTTTGGTTGGTTTATTAACGTTTCTAAATTGAAGGAGGTACAGGTTGGGCGCATCTCTTGCTGAGATTCGAATAGTCTAAGGATATGACAGAATTGGCCAATTTTGTGATTATACGAATAGTTATGGCATTTGGCTAAATTGCAATTTAAAAACCTGCTTGCGTTATCCAATCAAGATATGAGACCATTGCTGTTTGAAACATGGCGCGAAAACGGCATTTCTGAAATTCCATGCGGCGCTCGACGCGGTTTCTCTCGTTTGAAAACTCTCTGAATTTTCAAAACAAACAAAAGTATTTTATTAACACAAAACAACACAAAACAATAAAGAAAAAAATAAAAGAAAATTATAAT